GTATGGCTAATTTACGAATCCCATCCACCCGCCCATGCCAACGAAAAGGAAGGTATACCAGTATCAGTCTATTGAGATACTTTTCGAAACCTAATTTCTCTTAACAAACTGCAATAAGGCTGATTAGTTCAGTTCATCCTAAAGTATTATTTAATCCATTAAATGTATTTTGTTTATTCTGCTTCAGTTGAATTTGACTTTCCATAAAGCATTAATATGCATCACTTGTAGTTATTGATCGCCTAGTAGGTACAAAGTTAATTGATTTTTCATAATGCTCTTATATTTTAAGACATTTAATCACGAGATACATACATGGAACCTATATAAAGTATAAATGGCAAACAATTAATACAATTTATTTATTAGAATCATTACGCTTTAAATGTAGCAAGCTATAATATGCGTTTATATGCTCTTTAAATAGTTCATTAAAGTGGTTCGAGTAGCAACCTTTTTTCTTTTGATGATAATACAGACTAAACTTAAATTTGAACGCTGATAAGTCTATAGATATCATATATATATATATATATATAATAAATAATGTCTTTGGTAAGTTAGTTATTGATTATGTACTTTAAAAGAGATATATAATATTTAAATTCTTATCAATGTTATTTTCTGATAAGGAAATTACTTTACATGGTTTATGGCTAGTAATAAACTATACTATATTGTTATAACTAGTTTTAAGGCCTATAACATTTAGTACAGCTACACTTCAAGTAAATAATTTTGGACTTCCATACAAACTGATTATGTGTGTTCGGCTTTTAACAAGAGAGCATAATTAATTAAAGTGCTGAATTACTGTAGATCATTTAGACGAAACGGCTACCCTAATTCATTAAGATCAATATAAAAATCATATTTAGCTTATAAAAGCTTGGAATAATAAATAATGCTATTAAAAGACAGTATTGCTTAGTTAGTGACTCTGTATAAGTTGAAATCTTTCTACAAAATTCAATAAGTACATTAGCATAAATTTATTATTCAGCCAAATACCTTCTTCTAACTGCTTTCGGAGCACTTCAATCTCTTTCTGAAATTGGCGCAGCATAGCATCTTTAGGATCCTCATTGATACGGGCATTATTTTTTATACTTTTGGCGCGATTTGCATAGCGCAAAGTGCTAAGTGATTCATCATAATTATAGTCAGTTGGACCAATGTTGGCAATCTGAAAATAAATATAATATAACACATAATTCTATCTTAACTTACTTTCAGATATGAACAAAAATAGTAATAATAGAATGATTGTAGTGAGCCAAGACTAGGTGACATTAACAATAATTAAAAACTATTCATCTATGTAAATAAACGTAATTAAGCTATTTTTGACATGATGAATGCTTCATCGTCTGGAGGCCTAAGATTCGCATTCAGTTTTAGTTTTGTAACATATGTCCATTTCTAGCTAACAGAGATGTATAGCTCTTAAACTAAATTGAGTAGTGTGCGTTAAGTGAATATCTGTCCTTCCTTATCTGTAGCATGACAGACTCTCAAGCTTAAGATTTCAAAAGAATTCGTTAGAGCTACATTTGCATAAAGAGGAATGGACAGATTCTTGGTAGCCGCCTCACTTCTTTCATCATGGCAAATTGAGTAAATACTGGTTCTACTTAGTAGTATCTGGAAATCAAAGAAAAAATCAACACCATGCAGGCAATTTCCCACCTAAACTATAAGCGCTTGTCTAACTGGTTTCTCATATCCGCCGATTTGGCTCGAGCCACCACACTGACTGATTTAGTGAGAGGTCGCACTTTACACATTCTATTAAACAGAGCGTAAATTCCGCTAATATCTGTCTATGCCTGCAAGTGATGACAGATATTCAGAGTTAACAGTTCAATTTGATGAGACCTGCTTAAGAGTTTACCTCCACCAGCATAGAGTGTATGCTACCTAATACCAACCAAGCATGGCATTATGCACTTAAATAAAATGAAAGGTCGTTCGCAAGACCGTCCACGATGTTAATTGGATCCACATTAAAGACAATATAAGCCAGGACAGTCGACGCCTCTAAGAAAGTGAGCACTTCCCTACTTTACATTATCTTGTAGAAGTACAATGAATGGAGAGCCTGAAAGTATTCTTTCAAAGTATCCAAAATGTTGTCAGTGTGTTGGAATTCAACAACATCCTCGAGAAATTTGGTCTCATAGCAGTCTGCTTTTAAAGATTAATTCAACTATTTGAACATGAGTAAAACGATCATCTCTACTTCTTGCAGCCCGTGCAAGTGCAGTATTATGACGCTTTGGACTCTACTGAATTGAGCAGACCCCTTTGATGGTGTATTGATCGATTGAATGGATAATTAAAATGTCCTTTATGAACGAATCGTAAAAGGTATCTACAGATCTAAACTGAAAAAGCATCTTTGACATTCGGTCTCAATCAGACCTAAATCACTACCTCGATTAAG